GTGGTGGTGGCCCCAGATTGGAGTGGTCAGGAGCTGCCAGCGCTGCGGGGACGCCGTGTCAGCACCCGGGGACACCGCGTCAGCACCCAGGGAGCGCCTGGACCTGGGTGCAGCCCCTTGGCATGTGGGAATGGGACCGAGGTGGGGACAGGGGTGGGATTTGGATGGGGATGGAGGTGAGACTGGGATGGGGAAGGTCTCCTTGAAATAGGAGAAACAAGGGAAAGCATGGGGATAGGGATGGGATTGAGACAGTGACAGGATTGAGACAGCGATGTCAGCAAGGATGGGATTTAGGTGAGGGGGGGGAGTGAGACAGTGATGGGCACGGGGACATGGAGGTGAGACGAGGATGGGGAAGGGTTTGAAACGGGATTGAGAAAGGGACAGGGATCGCATGGGGACGGGATTGAGAGAGCGACAGGGACAGGACTTGGCTGCGAGTGAGTGATAAGGATGGGGACAGGGACAGGTTTTGGATGGGGATGGGACTGAGTGATGCGAGCAAGGATGGGATTCAGGTGAGGCTGGGAGTGAAACAGGGATGGCACTGGGATGGGACTGAGGGGGGACAGGGACACGGATGGCTGCGATGGGTTGGGGACGGAGGCAGGAGGGCCCCCGCCGCGCCGCCCTCACCTCGCGCAGGGAGCCTTTGCAGCGCAGGAGCTTGTAGAGGACGGTGCAGGGGATGCAGAGCATGGAGGAGAGTGCCAGAACCCAGCCGATGGCGTCCCCCCACCACGGGTACACGTACGTCTTGTTGTAGGTCAGTGGCTTGTAGTTCACCACGTGGAACACGAAGATGCCCTGGGTGGAGGAAGGGGCGAGGGGTGAGGTCCCGCGTGGAACCCTAGACCCCCCCTCCCCAACCCGTGTCACCCCCAAATCCCCGATATACAAATGCCACCGCCTGGCCCTGACACGCGTGTCACCCCCCGGCTGCCGTGCCCGAAGCAGCCGCCTGGGGGAGCCCGGTGCCCGCGGCAGCGAGCACCCGCAAACCCACGCGTGTGTCCCCCGCTCCCTGCTCACCACGCAGACCAGCGGGGTCACCACGGCCCAGCACCACTTCATGAAGGGCAGGGGCCGGTACCCGATCATACGGGCCACGTCGTCCATGAAGCGGTCGGCGCCTGCGGGGAGAAAGGCGTCAACGGGGCGCTGCAGGGCACCTGTGTCCCCCCCCAATCCCGCTGCGTCCCCCCAGGCCTCACCATAGACCCAGGCAATGACCACGCACTCCCAGAAAGCCTGCCACAGCAGCGTGATCCCGCTGGCCGAGTAGTTGTCAAAGAGCTGGAACACGTACATGCCGCCCTGCCGGGATGGCACCGCGTGTCACCGGGGCTGTCCCGGCTGCCCCCCCGGCCTGGGGCTTGGACACCCTGCACGCCACGGGCACCCTGTGCTCCCACAGCACCCCCACGCCACGGGCACCCCAAGCTGCGTGGGTGCAGCAGCCCCAGGGAGCTCCCACCCCCACGCTGGGGCCCTGCGGGAGGTGACATCCCGGAGGGGGGGGCAGGGGAGCGGGTGCCCGGTGTGGAGCCACTTGGCCGGTGTCCCCACCGCGTCCCCCACCTGCGTGACCATGGAGAGGTCGATGAGGCAGCAGACGATGCAGCAGAGCGCAGCGGTGAGCTCGCGGCGCAGCGAGCCAGCCCCCGGCTGAGGGAACAGGTCCAGGATGCCCGTGATGAAACCCTCCACGCCGACAAACTGCGGCAGAGAGCGGGGCTCAGCGGGGACGTGCCACCTCGTCCCCTCCCCGTCCCTGTCCCCCTTGCCCGCCGCTGCACCTGGCTGTCCAGCCCCAGCACGAGGAGCATGAAGAAGAAGAGCGTGGCCCAGAGCGGGGACAAGGGCATCAGCGTCACGGCTTTGGGGTAGGCGATGAAAGCCAGCCCGGGGCCTGCGGGAGAGCAGGGTCAGCGGTGTCACCCCAGAGGGGACACGGTGCCAGTGAACAGCCACTGCCCACCACTCACCGGACTCGGCCACCTTAGAGATGTCCACGCCTTGCTCGGAGGCCATGAAGCCCAGCACAGAGAAGACGACGAAGCCGGCGAAGAAGCTGGTGGAGCTGTTGATCACGGCCAGGATGTAGGCGTCCCTGCGGGCAGAGGGGGTCAGGGGGTGCCAGGGGAACATGCCGGGGCGGGGGGACACCTGCAGCCAGCACAGCCCTACCTGTAGCAATTGTTGTGGAAGCGGTTGTAGCTGCCCAGCGCGGTCAGGGCGCCCAGCCCGATGGCGTAGGAGAAGAAGATCTGGGTGCCAGCATCGATCCAGACCTGGGGTGCAAGGGAGGGTGTCAAGGGGGGGTGAGGAGAGTGTCGGGGGGGGGATCCCAACACCCAGCCCTCTCCTGCTCCCCGCGCTGCCCTCACCTGCGCCTCAGCCAGCTTGGACCAGTCGGGTTTCAGGTAGTAGACGATGCCACCCAGCGCCCCGGGCAGCGTCACGCCGTGGACCAGCAGCAGGATGAGAACCACGTAGGGGAAGAGTGCCGTGAAGTAAACAATCTGCAGAGGAGTGGGTGCTGGTGAGACACCCTGGGCCGGGGCTCTCCGTCACGTGCCACAGGTGTCCCAGCAGGAGCAGGGCTCGGGGATGTCCCCAGAAACTGGTGGCACCTCCCAGATAGATGTGGGACAGAGGGTCTTGCACCCCCGTGGGCTGCAGCACCCCACCCCACCAGCGTCACCTTCCCAGTCGACTTGACGCCCTTCCAGATGCAGAAGTAGACGACGACCCAGGTGGTGACCAAGCAGAGGATCATCTGCCAGTTCATCTCCCCCGGCTCGCTGAGGTCCCCCGAGAGCCGCAGCACCTTGTTCCTGCAAAGCGGGGCTGTGCTGAGTGCCGGCACGACCCCCCCCCCCGGGGC